CTGGAGACGCTTTGGACTCGTTTGTGCTTATCATAAATTTATTTCCTCCATGGCAGCAGAACACAAGCCTCCAGAAAGTTTTAGGGTTAAACTGGGCTCAAAAAACACATTAAGGGCTGACTAAAAGTCACACCATGAAGGAACAAAAAAGACCTTAGGCTTGCGAGATTAAGGGTACAAACAAGTCTTAATGCAACACTCTCTGTAGGAGTCAGTGTTACAGTGCTACTCTCTTTGAACACTAATTGTCTATTTGTAATTAATTACACTTATTTGGGCCAATATGGTGCATTCATGTAAGTACAATCTAATGTATATGTGCAACTTTGCTGCCTGTAAATGTTACCAGTCTACAAATCTTAACCTCTGAGTGCTCTGCAGAAAATACTCTGATATGCAGTATGCCTTTTTTATCCTGAGCTTCCATTCCTTCTCCCACTATCTATCTCCACATTTTACAACCTTACCTCATTAACAGCTCCTAATTGGCCATTGGGCTAAGCTGAAAACAATGAAGCATTGATTTCCTTAAACATAATCACCTCATCCAGTCATTTAATGGCTGCTGTCACTGTGGGCCACCAAGAGAAAAATGACCAGTCAGTGGTCCCATCGATGCCCTTCACCTCCCCTCACCAAAGGCTAGAGTGCACAGCCACCCACTCCATCTTAGCAAGTTGGTTTAACCCCTTTCGCTGCCTGACAAGCTCCAAGCACTACATCCATCACCACCTGCAGTCTTAAGTTGCTGTGATCCTGCACTTCACCACAGTGCGCACACAGTTACTGTTGTGCACTTGAGCGTTTCAGCAGAAGACGCACCGTCTATATATTATGGAACGCCACTTAATATCGTATGCACAAATAAACACACAAACAAACTCATAGTGGCCCAGACACATACTCAGACGCAGATAATGGATGGTCATTTACCCCACCCGGAGCTCCCAGCTACCTGAATGAAATTATGTCTCGTCCAAGTGGCCATTTGTTGTCTAAGTGGCTCTCGTGACTGGCCCAGTAGAGTCATCGTGGAGCCATTTACACTGCTCTCTCCTCCACATGCCAGATGGTTCATAGTGATCACGCCTAATGTCCACCTGGCTGATGGCTGGACCTCACCCTCTAGCTGATACACACACAAGCATGTACTTTTGTGTGCATGTGTGTGTTAGGGATAATCCGGAATTCTGATGGCAAAAATTATAATAATCACCATAATGATCATAATAATCAAAATCTGAATATCGTGTATTCAGTCAATGTCCAAAAGTAAAACAACAAACACAACCATATTTCACTGAAACTTAACTTTGGTCATTTTTTCAAGCTGAAGCCTCACAAACCATGTATCCCTCACATTACTAATGATCAGTTTGGAAAATGCAGCATCATTTTTATACAGTAGATTATTGAATGTGCCTTAGGGTCAACCATTACCAACATTTGTGGGCTTTTTTGGGATTGTTGCAGCCTAAAATGAATGATTTCACAGCAGCTTTTCTAAAACATTGTGATGCATATTGCAATGCTTTTAGGCTTTTTGTTTTTCCAATGAAACTGCGGGGCAAATGAAAATTGTGTTGTTTTTTTCTTACAATGTTTTTAAACTCAAAAATACATTGTTCTGGGAAGAATAAAACCACACTGCTCTTAGTTTGTGATTTATACTACTCTAACGTTATCACTAACCATGCATATTTAATCTAACTCACCTTTATTCCTTCAACACTTGCAATAGATGTAGATGCAGCAGCCTGTCATGGTGATCTGTCTTGCCTGCTGTGAACGTGTTTCAGCCATTCTCAAGGTGTTTTGTGGTTGCATCTGGTGCAAAACTGTTTAGCCCCGCTTTCGTGCAGAACATCAGGGAATCGCCGTGCACGGCCTTTAGCAGTATTTTTTGGTTGGTAAATGTGATACATTCATGCTGCACAGGTCTGCATCCTCACAACAAGGAAACAAGTTGGGGGATGTCATGCAGGGGACTGACTGGCTAAGATCAATGAAACTCACAGAAAATGATGGGTCAAATCTGCATGGTCATGCAGAATTCACACAGATTGGCTGAATTTGTGACATCATGGCAGAACATTTTGGAGGGGCTGATATTATTTCTTTGGGAACTGCCCATTGGTTCGACAGCCCATTGGTTCGACATCCCATTGTTCCGACCGTATTAAACTCATTGTTGCTGAGTCCGTTCCGAAATCATCATGATGCCCTGTGGTTAAGGTCTGGTTAGGTTTAGGCACAAAAACCACTTGGTTAGGGTCAGGAAAAGATCATGGTGTGGGTTACAATGAAAAAGAAAGTGACAAACACATAAGCCGTGAGCCTGCTCCGCCTCAAGCCGGTCGCGGCGCACCATACGCCCGCCGCGAGCCGTTCAGCACCGCGGACAGTTGGACTAATGGGATGTCGAACCAATGGGCTGTTGAACCAATGACATGGAGCCATTTCTTTCAGTAAAGTTTGAAAATCAGTAGACTGGGACTTGGTTGATATACTGTAGGTTATCATTGCTCTGTTTTTACTTTAGGTTATTATTATAACTTCAGAAGACATTATTTCCTTTTTTTCTTAATTGTGTTTGGGGCAAATTTTCAGTTAATGCTGAAATGACTCACACATTGAATTAGTCTGCCTTTCCATTGTGGCAGACTTTCTTCTAAACTACAGTACATCTGAAATGATGAACATGACTTATGATTCATTTATTGCATGTCTTCAAAAGTTTTACAGTACTTCCTGTGCAACTTTTGGAATGGAGAATGGCTGTAGTACAGCTGAGGAAGTGCACTCAAATCAGCGGCTTGACATTGCTATTCTGTTAATGTAAAATTGGTGCTTTATCTTTCTGCCTACCAGCTGATTAGTAACATCCAATACCATTTATTCAACAATTTCATCTTTTTAAACCCTAAGCATTAAATATAACTCTTCTAATAAACTCTTTCCAACACTCCCTCCAACAACAACCTCTATGTAACTGAAGCTTTGGTGTTGTTGACTTGTATGTATAGACATTTACAGCTATCCCTGACTATGTGTTACTATCAGTGTGTTACAGGAAATTGTGTAAGCATTTGCAGTCTGAGCTAATATAGACAATGGACTCAAGTTTGATAGACAAACTCGCTTCTGTGCTTAAGTCCCACTGACAGAACGAATTCATAAGTCACAGAGTGGGACAAATTCCATCACATTAAAACGAGTAACATTAATATGATGGGGATTTCCTTTTGTTGACCCTTGTCAGATGTGCGCTGGTTACACCTCTGTAGTGTTACCTCACAAATCAGACTTTGAAGCTAGCTGAGGGAATTCAAGCCAGTTTAGTATTCTGTGATGCAACATAAAGTCCTCACTTATTCAGAGATCTGCTTTGACTTGAAAGCCAGTCTGCAGGTCAGGAAGCTGTCAGTAAAATATTCAACAAGCCAACTCATTGTGGGGTTTGGGGTTTTAGCACACTCAGGGGATATTTCTCCTCACTTTTATAGTCTATGTTCTGCCTCCTCCTGCCCAGAAATATCTAACAACAAGCGCTGAGAGAGTGACATTAATACTGCACGACAGCGCGGTCCAGCAGGACTGCAAATGTTTGCCTTTTTAATCCAGAACTCGGCGGCCTTTGGTCTGGCCACTGCAGACATTGATGGGAATGGGAGACGAAAACTGTTGCCAAACTTGTCCAGGCTGCTGGGAGCTCAGTTTCGTAATTCATGACCCGAGCCATTTCAAACATTTGCACAACCAGAGAAACACACACCGGTTGTTGTCATGCCAGTGGAAGCAAATGCATCGTCTCACCGCAGAAGGATGCCCTCCTTAAAACTTGGTACGACCGATTGAAATAAGGCACAAACAAGATGGAATGTGGCATTTGGTTGTCTCCCCTTCTTTTTGCACTCTATCCTCTATTCTGTGTATTGGAGAGGATAAGTTCAACCCTCCTCCTCTCCTCTGTCCAGGGATGAGCTCCAGTTTAATTGTTGGACGCTGGTGTCTGTTGCGGTGGCTGTCAAGGGAAGATAAAGAGTTTTTCCTGGGGCGTAAGGAAAGGGGAGAGCGGTGATGGAGGGCCTCTCTCCTGCAGCTCCGCTGGCTGCATTAGCCCCACGCTTTATAATTGTGTGAAGGGGGCACTTCCAGTGGCTCCCTCATTACTCACTGGCATGGCCAGTACCTGGCAGCCAGACACACCTTGTCCTCTAGCTCTCTCTGTGCCTGGCTCACTCATTTCAGGATGTCCCTCCGCTCCATCACCCCCTCTCACTCCCCTGGGCAATCCTCCCTATTGTTATTTTGACCCAGTACCGCCATGGGCACATTTCGCCTTCTCTTTTCACAGAATTTTTTTGACATCCTCTTTTGTCAGACTGGGACCTATTGTACAGCATTTGCTCTGACCGATGTCACCTATGCTTCAGAGTTAATGCTTTAGTGTAGTATAGCCTAAGACTGTATTGTTTCAGTCATGGGACTCAAAGGTGTCACCCATCTAAGTCTACGTCTGAGGCCTGTGACTGCCAGGATTCCCTGGAGAAGAAGCGTAGACAAATGCTACATACATATTGACAACAAATGAAAGACACCAAGGGTGCAAAGACAGGCACATTATTACACAGCAAGTGCATGATGTGATCTTCATCATAGGCTGATTGGTATGGAGTGAGGACAGCCAGCACTGAGTGAGAGGCAATTAGATGACATAATTGAGATGCCTCGAGGGCCAATTTGTTACACATACTTACAGTGTAAGTGCTCAATGATTGTACTGCAGCGTGCCGAGGTAGTCGAGTTTCCCTAAGCCCATCCTTCATTCATATTATTGTTGCTTATTCAAATCTTAAATGTTGATAAAAATGTATGTATAGTCAATAAAAAGTTACTGTTGTCGTATGCTTCAGTTCATTTTCAGTGACATGTTTCCTCTCTCTCACATGAACTGACCGTGCACCTCGTTGTCTGTCTGTCTGTCTGTCTGTCTGCAGAGGGAGGTACGTGTGAGGTGATTGCCGCCCACCGATGCTGTAACAAGAATCGCATCGAGGAGCGTTCGCAGACAGTCAAGTGTTCCTGTTTACCGGGGAAAGTGGCCGGGACGACACGCAACAAACCCTCCTGTGTGGATGGTGAGGAAGTCTTCTGTGTTTTAACGTTATGCTGCTGCGGACTGTTTAGGATGGACTGTTGAAGACTCTTGTGAGGGAAAAAGTCCTTGTGTATTGTGATATTGCTATTGTGCCCAGCCCAGTATCCCTAGGAGTTATGTACGAATTACATCCAACATGCCAACATTCTCTGCCAGCACAGGAAGTACTGTGCCCTGTAGAGAGAATAACAGCATTGAGTTCGTTTATGGGCACACAGCCCGTTTGACTTTAATGCAAGAGGCTGGAATTTGCAATTTAGCATTCACCATTTTATTAACACTAACCATAACCTGATTATCTGCCATAATTTGTCTTTCCCTAACCATAACCATAACCATACTACAGCTGCGATGAACAGATACAGCAAGAATAAAAAAGTGGCATTCAATGTTAAAAGCAGTTGTAGTTAAACGTAATTCAGCATTTTGCAGAATCATCCAATATTGACATTCTTTACCGTCGATGTTTTCTTCAGAAGTTAGAAATACTATAATTCATAAATGAAATGATTCCAAATTAAAGTTTCCAGGTAGTTTACATGGGAAATATTCATTCCGAATGAGGGTATACATGGGAGATCAGTTTAATCACCTTTAATCGCCTGTATTTGGGTCCGCGCAAGGTTTGGGGCAGGGAAGGTTTCTGATTGGATAGGGGACAGGCGGATGTTACGTGTTTACGTTTACCGGAAGAAAACACTGTAGTCCTCGCTCCGGATCACAAGATGCGTGACGACGCCGTTCTTAGTGCCTTTTTCGGACTTGTTTTGCTTATATTCTTGAAACAGCAGTACGACAACAAACTTGTTCTGCTAATGCTTCGTCTGTTGAGGAGGAGAAGAGAGGTAGAAGGTCAAAGAAGGGACATAGAGGACTGTGCTGTGGTGAATGGAAACCGGTGAGTGCAACAAGTCCGACTGCTCTATCTCAGCCCGTTATGCGCGCTATATACGTCACGCCCCTTACATCGGATTGAATTTTCAATTGCATTGGCCATTTTCATTCCGAATTAGGTGTTTACAAGATCACTTTTAATAGGAATGAACTTTCATTACGAATGAGAAGGGAAATAAACTGTCCATGTAAACCCACTCACTGTCATGAAACTAGATTATGATGTTACAAGTTTTATTCCAAGGCAGACCATCTAAATAATAGTTATGTAATGGATAGACTTAACTTTTACAAAAGTAATCCCTCTCAATGATCACTTATGACTCACTAGAATCCTGCAGCAGTGTCTTTATTGCCAGAGACCCTGCCATCTGCCCAAATTTTTTCTTCTTATATTGCTGTGGTCAGGGTGTTTCTGGGCTGCAACCTTCGGGCAGTGTTGTATAGCCATCAGCCAGTAACAACACACAGGTCAGGACTTATAAAAAGGCAGCCAGGCAGCACACAAGATGAAGCTACAAAAACAGCAGATGCACCCCTGAAAACTGCGAAACAGCAAACTGAAAAAGCTCGTTCCAAAATGATAGTGAATCTGGGGTCGGCTTTCATTTTCCCTGGTGGACACTGAAGGAGAGCGTTGGGATAAAAAGTGACATGGAGTTGGCCTGTTTTCTGTCGGACAGGTAGGTGCCAGTGGTTAGCTTAGTTAGCTTGCTAAATATTGGCTTTTCCATTACAACAAACGTAACATTCTTATAATAGTACAAGCAGAACATACAAGCAGAGTAGAGAGGAGAGGCAACGTTTGAAAGTTGTGTTTAAAATTCCTGTATAGTATATCTTTAATTATAGTATTACTCTGACGATACGTGTATTATTGAAATACTATATAAGATATTTCTCATCCACTTATTCTGCCATGACACGTGCAGAATAGACAAACATGACATTTCAGAAACAGAAGATGGTTCCAAGATGAGATTAGCAAGTTCAAAAATACTTATTCTTCATATTCTTTAATAAACACTCAGACAGAGAGCTGCAGCTTATTCCAATATAACTTTCTCCGTTGCCTCTCAGTGATTTTTCTAATAATAAACATACATTCAACTATTAGAAGCCCAGTAGCGGTGTGCTGCGTGGCATCATGGGAGATAAAGGATGATCCACTTGGGCTGTTGAACACCTGAGCAGGGAGCACGTTGCAGATCACTTTGCCTAAGGCGGTTCAGGCTGATGGAAATGAATAACTAATAAACACAAGTCAGGGAAGCTCCAGGCTAGTGCACCTGAATTACCTCAGCTGAGAAAAACAATCAGGCAGAGGCAGCTCCATGGGAGGAAAAAAAGAAGCCGACAGGAAGTCACAAGTCTACTGAGACAGAACTGCGATGCCCCTATCACTCCACGGAGCTCATTTATTGCTCTTCAGTCTTGATCTTTACACCCCCACCTTCAGCTGAGATCAAAGTCATCTCTCCGACTGCCCTCTTGCCAAGAAGTGGCACCAAAATATCTTCATTATGAGGGATGTTACATGAAGGGCCAGACAGGCCTGCTCAGTGGGCTTCACAGGGTTGGTTAGCCACAGCTGACACTCAAGAAAATCCTAGAATATAAATTAGACATGAGCCAAGGATGACACGCGAAAAACTTTCTCTCTGTTTGATGAGAAATTACCTAAAACCCTGCAAAACTTTTCAGCAAACATTTAAGTTTTTAGTCCTTGAGACATCCTGTTCAAGGAAGGGATGTTGTGTTTGCCCTGTGGTTGGACACATCTCCTGAATGAAACATTTACAGAGCTCTGACCTTGAGATGCAGACTTTGTTGTCCTTGCAAACAACCAGACACTGTCTCTTCCACTGCACCCTAACAGACAAGGGACTGTGGACTCTTTTTATACAGCATTTATTCAGACTGTGTCTGTTTCATGGCCTTAAGACAAACGTAATAAAATAAAATGCCTGAAAACTTACTGAGAACATTATTCTGAGATATTGTCATACCCACAACTAAAAATGACACCTCAGTTCTTAAAGCTCCCCTCCAGACTGTTTTACTTATACTAACTCTAATATTTTGTTTAACATGGTTTTTCCAAATAAAAAGTTATTTTAAAAAAAAAATCTGAAAAGGGAAGCAGATTTACTCTTTATCTCTCTAAGGAATTCTGGATCTGGCCTTCACCCAGCCCACCACTGCTGCTTGCAGAAGGTTTTAGGCTAGTTAGTGTAGTGCTTCGTACAGACCCAGACTCAGATTTGGAGTCTGTCATGCACCAAAATCAGTGTCTAGCCAACATATCAGAATGCTAAGTGCAATAAGCATTTTTTATTTGCTTTATGATTGACGTGTTAAAGACATAGTCTGTGTCCAGTGTTGGGTAAGGGTTACTTTAAAAAGTAATCAAAGTACGTTACTGCGTTACTTTCTAAAAAAGTAACCAGTTACTTTACTGCGTTACTCTCTGAGTAAAGTAACTCAGTTACTTTAAAAGTACTTCCAACGTTACTCCCTGAGAAAAGTAACTCAAGCACTTTTAAAGTACTTTTGAGTATTCTGCATTTCCTATTGGGCAATGAACCACAGGGCGCTAAGCCTACATTATTTTGTCTCCAAAATTAAAGTTATGGACCACTTGCCCTTCACGGAGATCCAATTCTCCCATCACAGCCGTCACTTTGACCAGTAGAAACACATAACGATCTGCTGCCGTAGACAACTGTATGACAACAACACCCCAGCGTTTTTAATATTTCCTCTAGGGATGTTACCACACAGAGTAAAAGTGGGAAATGATGGTGTGAAACAGCAGAGGCACTTTGTCAACCCGCTGAGTTAACCTTACTGTCATTAGCATCAAGCTAGCAAACAATGGTACATCCTCATGGTCGGACATAAAGTAATAACATTAACAAAAAGCGGTGGGGCTTTTACTCACCACAACTGCAGAGGCTCCCAGCTTCATTTGAAACAGACTACATTATAGACGGTCCGTTATTTATTAATCCCTCTGTGTGGTTATATATTTACTTTTTATCCGCTCCGTTGTCTTTATAAAGTTAACATATCGCACCGTCATTTCAAACTCAACACTTGTTTCAAATTAAAAGCCCCTTATAACCTCGACCAGAGAATCCCTCCATTTTCTAAATAGGCTTTTATTCTGAAACATTTGTCAGAACTTCCTGTGGAAGATACAGTAGCTTGACAGTTTACATATGGTGCTTCAAATGTTGCTCCTGCCATCTGCTGACGCTTTTAGGTGACTACAACAACATGTTGGCTGGCGCAGGAACAGACACAGTGACTCAAATAATAGTCATAGTAATAAAAATAGGACAAGAATAACCCGATGACATCACACATGCCGTGAAAGACGACCGGGGATAATTGGTGAGTACCAGCGTGTAGCATGTACCAGGCATAATGCAAGTCCTGAGTCTGAAATATGTCTGTCAGCGAGTCCTACTCCACCTATTTAGACTCCACTGTAGACAATGGCAGCATTTCTCCGACCACGTAGCAAGCCACAAGCTCCGTGGCTTCTTTCAGACTGATAGGTTTAACGTTATCTCCGTTATTAGAACCAAACGAGCAAACTAACGCGTTAGGTTACTCGTTACTGCAAAAAGTAATCAAAGTACTCTAACGCGTTACTTTGCGTTATACCCAACCCTGTCTGTGTCTCAGATGAGTTATCTTGTAGAACAGTAATGTCTGAGGGGCAGGACTATGTTCGTATCTGCTTTGACAATGTATGGTTTAATGTGCATTGAGGTGTATTATATTTGTATTTTTGCACTTACTATATTATTGCTCTTCTTTTTATTATGTTTGTAGTGTCTTGTATGCCAATACTGGCTGGGCACCTTTTGTTGACACTTGAAATTTTGGCCCTGTCCAAATACCCGCACTTGCGCCCTGAGGTCTTCCCTGAAGTGCACTTGCCAAAAGTGCAGTTAGGGACATAAGTGCACAAGGGAGCGACGCTGTTTAAAAAGGAGAATTGGGACAGTTGCGTACATGTCACTTCTGTTTGGGTCCAGCTGGCCCGTCTCCTAGGAGACGAAACATGGCGAT